TTAAATTTTTACTGAAAGGATATGGGATATTTGACTATTACCTAATATTCTGCTTAAGTAAATTATATTACATTAACTCCTCATTAGATTATCCAAGGAATAAAATATATTTTTTTGATATTACACACTGTTCTCTCACCATTCACTTTGGTAGATGCAAAGGATAAAAGACCACCAAAATGCTCTCCTCTTTCAGGAAAAAATTTTTAAAATATTAAATTGTTACCTTTGGTATGCTAACATTAGTCTGAAGACCTTTAATTGTTACATTATCTTGCTTCATTGTAAGATTTGTCTGTGCTTGTCCTTGGTTAGTTGTTCCTATCATAGGGTGCTCGGTTTTTGTTCCTCGAACATCTTGTTTGGAAGATAACTAAAATGATTGAAAGTGGAATTATTTCACAGAACTTTAATAATTTCCACATCATCCACAACAGCACCTTGCTTATTCACTGTGCCCTATATGCCCACCTATGTGCCAGCTGCCATTGGTTTAATACCCCATCTTAAAATCCAAACCTTAGAAAAGCTAGGAAATAGACTGGTAGCTTTAGAATTGAGAAAAGTAATACACATTAAAGTGAAATCAGCCTATAGAGAAACAGACAGAAAAAATGGTAATAGTAATTATAAGCTTTTTTTAGGATCACTAAACTCTGACTTGAAGGCAGACTTGGTCTCTGATAATTGGCTCCTTATTGGCTGGGAATATTTTCAAATTTCTTTTTCTTTTTTAATCTCAACTACCCTAACTCCCTATCATATGAAATGTCAATATATATTAAATAATTGGTTCACTAAAGATAATCAGCCTCACTTTCACCTCTCCTGTCCCTAGTACAAATATGATCAGAATAAATTTGAAAATCAAATAGAGAATCATCACCAGAAGGGCAAGAGGATGTGACTGCAAAGCAGCTGGCTTCGTGGCTAGAACCACGGCATAATAGGAGGTAGTGATTTGATTCCTTAAAATGAACAATAACAATCTCAAAAGTAAGAGACAAGTCATCTAATCATAGAGGAAAGTCAAAAAGTAAGCAGCTTTGCTTTCTTAGAAAAGTAAAGTGCCAATCCTAAAGAATGTTCATTCACTCGGGGCCAAAGCTCTTTAGAAAAAGCTTCAAACTAAGCTATTTTCAAAATAAAAGAAAAAATAAAGCTATTTTTTAATAAATATTTTTACTACTTTTCAATCCACAATACAATTATATATGCTATCTTTTATGAAGCCAATACGTATAAAGGCTTTCAGAACATGTCTATATATTCTGATTTAACTTGCAAATAACATTTTGATACAATAATATTTGATATTCCGTACACATGATACTAAATTTGCTATGCACGTGGAATAAAAAAGTTCTTACATTTTCTGAAAAGGTGGTCTTGCTATTTTGGACAGCTTCCCTAAGGACTTTGGCATGAAGATCATCTACGATTGCAGCTGGATGTCGGGTACTGGCACAATGAACCATTGCTTCAATGTATCTGAGGGGGGAAAAACAGTAAATGAAAAATTTCAGTATCACTAATCCTATGACCTAGTTTATCTAAACAAATCAGTGAAATTTAGCACACCTGAATATATATAATAATTCTTCAACACTGAAATGAGAATTTCTAAACTGCATTTTCAGAAATTATACAAGGGAAACAGTACCGAGATTTTATCCCCGCTGTCACCATCCCTACCCCAAGATGAAGTGCTCCAGATTGGGCAATGGTGTTTTCTTTTACAGTCTCCTAAAGATGATTTCCTATATTCTTCATTTGTATGACATCTCATAAGAATTTTAACAATATAAGTTATCGTAGAAAACTATACACCTTTGCAGTAAAAGGAAGAGTTTCACGAAAATTGGTCCCCACTGAACCCCTTCTTTTCTTACCTCATTCGGCACTCTGTGTTTTCCACACAACTTCTATTATGTTCCATTCTCATTTTTATTCATGTTAGTTTTGACTCCCTCGATAGACTATAAGCTCCTTGCAAGACAGACCCTCTATTATTTCCCCCTTTATCCCTTCATTAACTAGATAGTAGTGAGAATATGAAACATAAAAAGTAGTTCCTGAGTATTTGATCATTTTATGCTCATTAGCCCAAAAGCAAAAATTAGAAATATACTGTAATATAATTATTATAATATTACAGTCAGTCCTCTGTATCCATGGGATCCACATCCACGTATTCAACCAATTGCAGACTGAAAATATATTATTCAAAATACAATATTCATGGGATACAGAGCCCACAGATATGAAGGGCCAACTTTCTGTATCCACAAGTTCCCCAGGGCTGACTTGAGCATCAGTAGATTTTAGTATCCATAAGGGTCCCGGAACCAATCTCCCGCAGATACAGAGGGACAAATGTAACTATTTAGGCTGAGAAAATAACATGATAACTAACTAAAACAAAGAACTCTTTAAATATATTTTCATTTTTAATCAACCAAAATAGCTATCATCAATAATCTACATGAACATATATTATGTATACTTATGTCACATACAGTTATCATTTTATAAAGTAATAGTTACATTTTTAGACAAAGTCAATACCTGTCTAAAGCTTCAGCAACCAGGGGAGTCAGAACAATATCAACGTTTCCTTTTACTTCAACTATGGCTGTTGTCCTGGTCTGGGAGACTGGTTGATCCAGGGTCCACTCCTCTGTTAATGTTTCATCATCTGTGTTATCAATGACTTTCTTATCCAGTGGAGTATACGGTGTACTACACAATTTAACAAGCAAAGCATATATTAAAAAGATCATAAACAAGAATAGAAGTTGGAGCTTCCTTAAGGTGAGTAAACACATGCATTTATTTCAACTAAAAATTTCATGGAATTGGATTTGATTTTATGTCTCAAAGACAGGCCAAAACAAGCACTAAAATGAAAACTGACCAAAGATGGTTAATATATCAAATGAGAAAATTTTTTGATATATTTACTTGATGGGCCTTTTCTAAAATGTAAAAAAAACAATACTGAATTCTTATTAGTCCCCAATTTTGATATGTCAAATTATGGCTTGCACAGTATGTTTAATAGAAATGCTACTTATTAAAAGTAGCCAAAGCCATGACAGACAAAAGAACTGACTTATTTGAGCTAATTTATTCTTAAAATAAAATCCATACTCAAGTAAAGAATGGTTATTACTTAGAATAAACTCTACCTATCTCAGAATCAAGGAAGATTGACTTTAAATGTTAAAAGTTTATTATCTTTACTTACTTTGAAGTTGATCCTGAAAGTTGCATGCCTCTGTCTAGCAAAGAATTAGCTGTAAGTCCCTGCTTGATAACCTAGAATATAAAATATTATAGTCTAGAATTTTTATATTATTTCTCCAATTCTATATAGCAACTGATATTTGTGAATATCCAAATTTCTTATTAATATGATTTTGATATATTCTATATAAATATTTAACAGACAAATGGAAAAAAACCACAGAAAATATTCAATTGGTAATTTCATTTTGTTTATTCAATAAATGGCAGAGCAGGGTTGTGAGGGATGAGCAGTAATCTCAAGAACTACAACTAAGACTTAAAAGCAAGTATTTCAAATGTCTTTCCTCCAGAGTTCCTTTTTAAACTGAGCTTTTTACTCAAGCTAATTTTAGTCTTCTCCTACTACAACCAACTTTTAAGTGGAAAAGAGACCCACAGAAATATTAAACTATAGGAGAAGCTAGACTTGTATTTTACATCCATAAAAGACAACAAATAAAATAAACAAATGAAACTGACTAACCAAACTGAACCTTTATAAATGCTAATCAGTTATTCAGATTTAATGGAGAAAAATAACTTTCTTACTTCCTATGTTCTGTTTCTTTTTTCCTAACAGCTCAGTCTCTGGTAACCACCCTTTACTCTCTACTTCTGCGAGATCAACCTGCTCAGATCACACATGAGTGAGATCATGAGGCTTCTTTTTGTTTGGCTTATTTCACTTAACATAACACCTTCCACGTTCATCCATATTGTTGCAAATGACAGGATTTCCTTCTTTTTCATGGCTGAGTAGTATTCCACTGTGTATAATACCACCTTTTCTTTATCTGTTCATTCACTGACGGACACTGAGGTTGATTTCGCATCTTGGCTATTGACAATAGTACTGCAATGAACATGGGAGAACAGATATCTCTTCAACATACTGAATTGTCTTTGGATATGTACCTAATAGTGGAATTGCTGGATCATATGGTAATTCTATTTTTAATTCTCTGAGGAATCTCCATACTGTTTTTCATAATGGCTGTACTAATTTACATTCCTACCAACAGGGTTTGTTTTCTTCACATCCTCGCCAACACTTATTATCATTTGTCTTTTTGGTAACAACCATTCTATCCTCTGTTCTATTTTTGAAGTTATCTAAATATATTAATCTCCTGACTTATCTTCTCTAGAGATTTGACTGCCTAATCAAACTAGAAAGAGTTACTTAAAATACTGAGAAATTCCTATCTTCTCAGGTGCTGTTCTGCACAGCAAGTACCATTCAGTTTCATCCTAGAAAACTCATATACCACCGTATTTCCACGTGGAATAAAGAGAACACTTTGAAATCTTGGCAGGGGCAATTTATCTTGGGCAAGATAAGAAATGAACACAACCTTAAAAGTTAAAACCACAACTTCGAAACTGTCACTAATGATTCTTCATCCTTCATTACATATTACTCAAACGCCTGCATATATCTGTGAGGATATTCAACTCCATTTGTCACATTTCCATCATTACTAATACATCTTAAATCCAAGTCCTTCTCATCTTTTGCACAGACTACTGCAACAGCCTCCTAAATGATCACCTCATTTCCTCTCTTGCTTAATGACAATTCAGTTCCACTTAGTAGCCAAAGTACATGTGATCACATTTCCTTAAAGTTCTCATGCGTAATTAAATAAATAATTGAAATTAAAACAAAATTCAAACTCCTGATGCCAAGGTCTTGTTTAGGTCTCCAGCTTCACCATCAGAAGGTCTCCCCACTCACTATTTCTCAGGCACACTGACCTCTTTTGCTCCTTAGGACTTTAGGAAGGCTGTATCCTCTGCCTGGAATGTAGTGCCCCTAGGTCCTCCCATCCTCAATTCCTCCTCATCCTTCAACTTTCACCTTAAATATTAGCTCCTCAGACAGACCTTCCATATCAATACAATGTAGGTAGCCCTGTCTTGCCATTATTCTCTATTCCAGCATCCTCTGATTACCTTCATAAGACTGTTCTCAATTTGTAATCATGTATCTATCTGTTTATCTATTGTCTGTCTTCCTCCTATAAACTGTAAGCTCCATGTCCAGTTCCCTCACTACTGTACATCAAATTCCTGGCACATAGCCGTATATAATAAACACCTGAATTAAGAATGATTACATAAATTAACATTTAGTCACTTCAAATAAGTATGGTATATGTATACACACACATATATGCATATGTATATAAACTATATATACTACATAAGATTCCTGAACATTATTCATCAGCTCCATAAGACTTTATATACTTAATTTTTGTCTTTAACAACTTAAAAACTTTTCTTATAATTTATCATTTTAAAAATAGTTTTCATATTTGCTATTACCACTAAATTCATTTTGAGGTGTTTTTAGCTTACCTAAGAAAGCTATTTTCAGAAACACATTACAAAAATGCAAAATAACCACATTCACACTAAATTATAAGCACTCAAATGTCAAGTGAATGGAACTGGCTTTGCATGGAAGCAGTTATGGATTAGGGGAAAGAACTATTAAGAACGACTTCAGAATTTTATTTTTAAGACACAGAAAATATGAATTCAGAGACTTGATCTTCATCTTAAGAGTATAATGTAGACACAGAGTATATCTTAATTGATTAGATTAATATAGTGGCAATTAAGTCTTAAACCTTTCCTCAATGTAATTTGCTTGAATTTATAATAACCCTGAGATCTGTCATACATAAAACCATGACTTCGGAAAGTCTATCTTTCAGAAAAGTAGCTAAAATAAATGAGAAAGTAATTTTGAAAACAATTTCTTAAAAGTCTATTTTTTAAAATAAATATAGCAGTGAAAACTAATGATTTGGTTTATACCTTAAAAGTTGGAACAGAAAGCTGTTCAAATGACGATGAACTTTCTTCACTGGTTGGTGTATCCAGATCAAGGGGGCGATGCAATGAGGACTTAGAGGTTCTTTTGTTGGTTGGATGCTTAACTGACCAATTAATTACCTGGAACTGAGTAAGGTAAGTCTGATAACAATTCATCACAGGTTGTTGAGAAGTAATCTGTTCACTCTCTACTGTTTTCTCACCTTCCACAATATATAAATGTTCTATAACATCATCTTCTCCACCTAATGCAGAAACAAACGAAGCCTGGGAAGGATGAGTTTTGAATGGCAGAGTTCGGGAATCCTGAATGCTTTCTCCGTGGCCAATAAGTGGTCCTTCTACACTGTGATATATGGAACCCCTACTGTAATCAATCTGCTGCATTTGCTTTTTCTTCTTTTTTCTACCTGGATAAGTTCCAGGGCCTTCATCACTGCTAATGGGCTCAAATTCCTCAGCTGCAGAGAAGTAGGCTTCACTATCAGCCATTGACATGCTGGAATCCATTGATCGATACTGATGAAACGAATTAGAGTCTGCTGATGGCGTATATGGGAATGAACCAAAACTTCTTCTCTGCTTTGGTGAGTCTAGTACATTCTCATCACTTCGAGAGACATCACTACTAAACTGGACTCCAACTGTAACAGGTTGCTTGTCCCCATAGAAAGCAGCAGTAAGACTCTTAGTACTTCCAAGTCGGGTAGAACAGACAGAGGCTTGTCGTTTCAAAGGAGATCTAAGAGGAGATTGACCTACTGACTTATCCTGAGTATTAGGAGACACAGGGCTGTTTCCTGCAATTTCTGTGGGAACACTAAAACAGAAAGCAAAGCTATTACTATTTTCTATACATCAAATAATTTACTCTAAGCATAAATATAAGTACATATAAAAATCCTTTTAGTAATTTTAATCATTCATTTTATAAATAAAAGAGAATCTAAAATTTAAATTTTACAATATAATATCCATTCCGAGTAGCACATAGAATGTGTTCATGCCCCCTATATAGCTCCAAAAAAAAACTGAGGCAGCTTAAAACACAATAAAAACTGAAACCCAGAGTATAATCTTCTATCTGTAATCCATGGACACTGATGTATTTAGAAGTTTGTTTGTTTTTGACAGTCTTACTCTGTCACTTGGGCCAGAGTGCAGTGGTGTGATCACAGCTCACTGAAATTTCAAACTCCTAGGCTCAAGCAATCCTCCTGGTTTTGCCTACTAAATACCTAGGACTACCGGAACACACCATCATGCCAGGCCAATTTTTTTTTTTAAGTTTTTTGTGTAGACGTGGTCTATGTTATATAGCCCAGGCTGGTCTTGAACTCTTGGCCTCAAGGAATTCTCCCACTTCAGCCTCAGGATGATAGGCATGAGCCATGGCACCTGGTCAAGAGTTTTGTTTTGTTTTTTTTCCCACATCCTTTAAAACCTTGTCCAACAAAAAAATACCAGGGGTCTTAGAGAGATTGAAAGAGAGGAAGAAGTCATAGATAACTCCAATATTTCTGACTTTAACAATGGATATAGTAGTGTCATTTACTGAAACAGAACAAGTTGAGAATGACAGAAATAAGACCATTTTTAATATGTTGAGTTTGAAGTCTCCATGAAACATCATGTAGAAATATCAAGAATGTAGCTAGGCTGGTAGGGACAAAGTTTTAGGTGGAGTTTTACATTTAAAAAGTGTTAACTAAAGATCATGATTGAAGCCAAACAGTTATTGAGATTGTCTAGGGAAACAGTACAGAATGAATGGAGAAAATGATGCAGAACGGAGTCCAAATAAATAACAACAGTCAAGAAGTGGCAGGATATAAGAGGAAGAGAAAGAAGAAAGGAAGGAAAAGTAGAGGACATGGCAATAGAGATTAAAAAGGAAAAACCAAGAAGGTGGGAGGAAATTTTGAAATGTGCCATCAAGTCGAGAGGAAAATGTCCTTTGAGAAAGGAGTGGTCAACTATTAAGGTGCCAAGAGGAGGACCAAAATATATCCACTGGAAGGATAATATCCAAATGTTAACAGTGATTCACTCTGAGAGGTGGGATATCAAGAAACATTTATTTTCATTATACTTTTCTATATTTTCCTCATATTTAGAATAAATATATATGTATTACTTCTATCATCAGCAAGACAACAGTAAACTGACATTTCAAAATATGTTCAGGTACACGAAAAATTTTTCTAAAGTAGAGGAACAAAGAGGGAAGAAGTTTTTCTTGCCACAATTTTAAACAACTATAATCCTATTACAATCAAGTTTCTAAATCTAACTGAATACTGACCTTACTTGACAATCATCTCTTTTTGTACCATGCAAGAACTCTTTTTGAACCAAATGGTCATCAGCAACAGAAGAGGGACTTTCCTTTTCACCAGCCAATAAAGGTTGTGCAGCACTAGAACTACTATTCTCTTCTGAGGAAGAGGATGAGCTATGAGATCGTAATGGTACTTGAAGACTAAGGTGTTGAGTTTTTCTCTCTACTTCTATTCCCACTGGTTTGTTTTCCCATTCTTTCCTCTTCATGCCATTCACATTACCTAAAACAAAAGGTGGGTAAGTGAACACAAAAAATTCAAAACCAATTTATGAAAAACATGACAACTTAATTTAATTCCCTGTTTTAAGTATAATCATTTTTAAAAAGCAAAAGTATCTCATTTCACATAGCAATATGTTAAACACTGTAGAAAGATACCTATAAAGACCACAAATGGTGAATTTTTCCTTTTTTTTAACCTTTTATTTGAAAACTTTTCATGCCTGTAATCCTAACACTCTGGGAGGCTGAGGCAGGAGAATCACTTGAAGTCAGGAGTTCAAGACCAGACTGAGCAAGAGCAAGATCCCATCTCTAATAAAAATAGAAAAGTTAGCCAGGCACGGTGGTGCACATGCCTGTAGTCCCAGCTACTTGGGAGGCTGAAATAGGAGGATTGCTTGAGCCCAGGAGTTTGAGGTTGCTGTAAGTTAGGCTGATGCCAGGAGCCATGGCACTCTAGCCTGGGCGACAGAGTAAGACTCTGTCTCACAAAAAAAAAAAAGAAAAAGAAAATTTTTAAACTTACAGAAACCCTTCAAGAATAGTATGAAGGACATCATATATCTTCACTAAGATTTACTTATTTTAAACATTCTTCCCTATTTGTTCTAAAAATTCAATGAGAACAGGTATTGTATCATTTTTCAGTACATTTTTACTGATGTACTTCCAGTACCTGGAACAGTGCCTCAAACACAGAAAACACTCAATAAATGGTTTTGTAAATGAATAAATAATGACTTCACAGCCAAAGTGAAGCACCACTGTATCAAAGTTTCATAAAGTACCCTGTGATGTGAAATTGGGGGCAGCTGGGGGAGGAATAAAAGGAGAGTCCCGTTGCTGCCTACATCCAAAAAATAACTCTTGCTCATCTTCCCGTCTCCTCCAGCCATCCCTGTGTAACCTATGTTAAAGGAAAACCTGCTAGCAGAACTAGCAGACTAAGAAGTAATAGACAAGAAGGTGGGAGGAAATTTTGAAATGTGCTATCAAATCAAGAAGAAAATGTGCTTCAAGAAGGCAGTGGTCACCGATTAAGATGCCAAGAAGAAGACCCAAAAATATCCAGTATATTAGATATTTCATAGTGCAACCATCTCCCTGAACAGAATGTAGTTCTAGATGGAATTCAAGGGGTAAGAAAACTTATGAACTTACAATATAATACTATTTACTTCTAGTGCCACAAATGTAAAACAGAAGTAAAAGAAAAATAGCTTTAATTCACTTCTAAGTGATATAGTAAACTTAGTGTTCACTGACCTCCAAATAGATCCTTAATTCTACCAATATGCCTCCTTGATTCTATCAGACACTATACATCTGTACTCAGTTTCTGAAAGACTCAACAATCAGAAACTCATTTACACATATAGGTGCTAATTCCAATCTCTCCTGGACAAGAAACTTAATGCAATTTAGCATTTACAGCTCACTACAGAGAGAATCATCAGGAGGTATAAACATTCCCTATTACACATTATAAGAATTATAATTAGCTTTGCTTGGTTCAATGTTAGAAAAGGAATTTGCTGTTTTTCCCCTTTCGCACCATGTAAAAATTCCCTGCAGATTTTCTTCCTTGAGTTTGTTATAGTTAAGTTTTGATATGCAGACTAGAAAATCAAGCAGTCTTTATAATTAGTGCCAGCTGTAGTACGGTAGAAAGAACACCAAGTCACTTCAATGGCCCTGATTCTACAGGGTGTCCCAAAAGTTGCCATACATAGGGAAAATGGGAAATTGTAGCTAAATGTATCTTATTTACAAAATATTCATTATCAAATTTTACAAAATTTTTCCTTTGTATGGAGACATACTTGCTATATAACTTTGTGCAACTCAGTCTCAGTGATGAGCCTCAGTTTCCTCACTATAAAACAGGGATAATATCTACCTCACATGGTAGCTCGGGGGTTAAATGAGAAAATGTCAGTGTAAACCTTTAAAAATGAACTGTATTCAAATGTAAAAAAGTAATATAAGAATACTAAATGCTAAATTACTAGCATCTACCTCATCCTTTAAATGTCAACAAGTTTTGGTGTTTGCTGTTTTTATAGGATAATCTGCTCTTGTTCTAGCAAAACTGCTAAAGTAAAATGACCTTAAAATAACATGTACACACTTTGTATTACTATTCAGTGAAAAATAATTTAAACAGGAATTTAGCATATGTAGTCCAGCTCTTCTCCTACACATGGGAAACCAATCTGGTAAATTCTTAAAGTTAAAACTATTTCTTTCTTATCTTTCTTTGTCTACTGATAAAAGGCAGAGCTAAGTTAATGTTTTTAATTGGATCAAGGTAAAAAGGATAAATATTGGTAAAATATCAAGACTTCTCTATATCTCACATCTCTGCAGCATGGCAACTTAAGCAGTAAATATTGCACTTAATCGTGGAAACACAACAAGAAAACCCAAAGGAAAATCCATTTCTGAAGTCTTTGAAGGAAAGACACTAGATAAATCTAAATCTATTAAGAATATACTCAAAGCCACCTTTCACTGCTCATACCAAACTTAATGTATTTACAAAGTTATCCTAAAGACTAAGAAAAGACCAAATTTCTCTTGGCATGTTTAATTTTAGTGATAAAGAAAATATTTTATAAAAGTAGCCAATAACATAGGGGCAACAGTATAAATATTATTATTGATAAGTTTTCCTATAAATGTATGACGGTAAAACAACTGTTACTTGGAAGCACAACTATTCCTAAGTATATCTCTGGAAGCTGGTTATAGGAAAATAATGATACATAAGGAAATATTTAGAATAGCCTTGTGAGGAATGCCACCCATGTCAACAATAGGAGATCTGAATAGTAGACCTACTGCCCTGTGTAACTTTGAAAAAAATCACTGGTCTTTTCTGGCTTCAGGTAAGTCATCTGCAAAAACAAAGGTGGATTGATTATACAAAACCATACCTATAAGATGACAAAAAGTTAATTGAGTAAAACAAAGTAACATTGAACTTCTCTCAGAACAGAGTAGGGATAAGGATAATAAAAGATTAGCACACAAGACAAAACAACACACTTTCTTACCATCTATAATTTTGGGAATTTCTTTAGTAATAATCCATTCTCCAGGCTGTAGCAGAGACTGTCCATAATACATATCAGACTCTGCACTTGTGTTTGAAAATGCAGAGCTACTGGAAGGCGTCAACTCCTCAAGTTTGAAGAAATCTAGGCCAGTTACTGTGCCACCAAAGAATTTGCAACCACCAAGACAACCACACTTGTTTCTACACCTCTTATTCTTCAGAGTATCATCTGGCCACAAAAACCACAACCTAAATAGAACCCAAAACAAAACAAACAAAAAACAACATTTAAAAAGCTCATTAAGAAATGAAAAACTTTTTGGCAAATAATTAAATATAAACTAATTTTTAATATTTTTAAAAGACAAAGTAAACACAAAGGTTTATTCCTACTGTGGTTATGTCTTTTTAATCATTTTACCTTTTTAAAGAAAAAAACATTTACCACAGTAAATGAGATGGAAGTAAGTAGGAACAATAATGACAGAAATATAGCATACATTTAAAAAAACAAAGAGTTAAAAAGGAGCAAATATAAAACTCAGACTTTTAAATTCAGTTTTTAAACACAAAGGTTTATTCCTACTGTGGTTATGTCTTTTTAATCATTTTACCTTTTTAAAGAAAAAAACATTTACCACAGTAAATGAGATGGAAGTAAGTAGGAACAATAATGACAGAAATATAGCATACATTTAAAAAAACAAAGAGTTAAAAAGGAGCAAATATAAAACTCAGACTTTTAAATTCAGTTTTAAAACAGTAGTATACATTCTCAAAAAGACTAAACTTTTAAAACATTAATCTAAAAATAGACAAAACTATTAATATAGATTATGCTTAATAGATAACTCATTACCCTTAGCATTTCAGAAATTATTTCACATTGCAAATTTAATACACCAAAAAATTATAGATATGTGCCAAGTAGGAAACTATTTCTCAATAAAACTAAAATAATGAACTATTCCATATTGTAGAGTAAAACAATTATCCAGTTCTACTCTCTTGTTATAAGGTCTACAAATAAAGTATTAAGAATATACGTAAACTTCTTTGGGCTCTATGTAAGTAACTCACAAATCTGTCAGTATTAACCCCTTTCTTAAAAAATATCATACAATAGAAATCTATGAAATATGTCTTTATTCCCTTTTTTTTACCTTATATAATAAAATCACCTTATAGTCCATTTTTCTAAGTATTTTCACATGTATTATCTCCTTGGATTTTTAGGACCCTTGCAGACAGACAGAATAGGTATCATTTTCATTTTACATTCTTTAATTTTTTATTTCTTGAATATAGCTATTAAGTGCCTAGTATCATGCTAAGTAAAACTGATACAGTCCTTATCCATATGGTTTATAATACAGAGGCAAAGCTATAAACAAGAAAATATCTAATCAGAAATTACAGTAAGTGCTATGAAGTAAACCGGGTGTTGTGATAAAGAAAACAAGGGAAACCTCCAAAAAGTAATATTTGAGATGTGAAATATGAGGTGGAATGAATAGATCAAGTTAGAAGTAGAACATGAGTCTAGAGAAGACAGAAGGAAAAATGTATTAGAAGGCCATAAGATGAGGAAGAATTTGAGGTATTACTTCAATTAGATGTTATCAATTTCAAATCACTTTTGTGTTAAGTATTAAGTCATTCGGCAAAAATTTCTTAAAGCACTATCAAAATTAAAAAATCTTATAAACACAATAGACATTTTTACTTAATTTGTGCAGCAAAATCTTAGAAGAAAGAATGCCTTCGGAGTCCTATAGAAGAACTGAGTTCAAATTCTAGGTGTGCCACTTACTAACTCTAGAAATTTAGGCAAGTTAACATCTCTGAGCCTCAGTTTCCTCAATCTAATAAGATTTTTCTGAGGATTAAATGGTGTAACACACATAAAGCAGCTGATGCAAAACCTGGAATACAGAAGTTACACTACAAATGTTAGCTTCCTTCCCCTATCTTTGTATAATCGAAGCAGTAGTTCTCAAACTTTAGCTTATGTTAAAACACCTAAAGGGCTTGTTTAAAAAAAGGGTAGTTTGGCTCCACTCCCAGAGTTTCTGACTGAGGTCTTGGTAGGCTTGATTATGTAAATTTCTAGCAAGTTCCAAGGAGAAGTTGATGCTGGTGGTCTAGGAACTATACTTTTAAGAAACATTAATCTATTAATAATGAAACTAATGGCCTATATAATCTGGTAGCTTTTCCAGTAATATCAGGAATGAATACATCTTTTAACCAAACCTCCTGGGAATCAAATATACACAAAGACAGCTGAAGCTGAAGGTAATGAGTTACCATGTAGGGAGAGGCAATCCACTGCGGACCCTAAGAATCCCTACATGTTCTCGCTGAGTACACCAAGAATGCGAGGCTCTGTCTAGGCCATATCTCAGGGATGTGTTTGGAGCAAGCAACCTTGAGGGCTGAGATAATGTTTCACCCTGGAAAAGAGCAGGTTTGCTCCCACTTACCATACAAGTGGTAGATTCCCTAAGCTCAGTGTACCTCCCTTTTAATGTAATCAACGATGTGCAGAGATACATCATGGATAGGCCTTTAGTGTCATTCACCACAGGACGCAGGGACAGGTTTGCCCGATTTAGCAAATAAAAATACAAATAGAAATAAGTTTTTCCTATACAATACGTGGGACATACTTATACTAAAATGTTTTTTGATGTTTATCTGAAAGTTAAATTTAACTGGGCATTCTGTATTTTAACTGGCAATTCTACTCGAGGGCACCGGGAACAAATGCAAACACACGACTCTGGCTGCTTTTGCCGTAACATAGGCTCTGGAAGTTTTGTGTCTTCTGCCAGTATCCATGAAATTGTGACAGGCTAACTTGTCAACTTGTAAGTAAGATAAAAATTCCAGACTCTTCACAATTCTTGACAAACCTGAGCACTGAAACTAACCTAAATGAACCACTTGGAGCAAACTGAGTCACCTGAAGCCACCTCCCTAGTTTCATTAGCATCTTGCTCTACCACCTAACCTAATCAGAGACAGGCATTTTGTTCATGCTACCTGGCTTCCTGGGCAACAATTTACAAAGAAACCCAATTTCTTTTAAACAATATTCTTCACACATGAGTTTTCATGCTAAGATTTATAAGATGTCAAGCCTCCCTAAATTAATTTAAAAGATTAATCTCAATATAAATCTCGACAGGTTTTTCTTTAACTAGAAAAATAGTCTTCAAGTTCTTTGGGGAAAGTTAATAGATAAAAAAAACTAAACATTAAAATGAAGAAATGAATATGTACTAGGTGTAAATTTTTTCCTCTGTATTTGAATAGGTATTTGCAGAAGAATCTTATTTCCCACCTTACCTAGATTCACACACACACACACACACACACACACACA